ACCGGGACGGGACCGGCCCCCGAGCCGCGGCACACGGCGGGAGGGGACGGGAGGAGCCGCCAGGGGCACCGGCACCGGCTGGGAGGAGCTGCGGGAGGGAGGTGGGTGCAGGTGGGGAAGGGGCTGCCCGGACCAGGGGGTCCATGCCCCACAGCCTATGGCAAAGGGTATGCCAGGCTCGCACTGACATGTGCCACACGACTGGCACTGATGCCGCTCCACGCCGTGACACACATCGGGCACACAGCAGCCGGGGCAGGAAGAGTGCGAGGCACCCGCAGAGCCCTGGGCCACTAGCACCAGCCAAAGGGATGCTCGGCATAGGCAGGTGACCCCCATATCGCCACCACTGCACTGTGGCACATGCCACATCGGAGCAAAGGTGTCTCCATGCATGTGAGCAGGCTGTTCTCAAAGCCCCTGGATCCTGCTCAGGTCTCCTTTTGCTTCAGACACAGAGTTCTGGCAGGAGCAAATGCATTCGGCTGCTCAGAACAGGGATGACGCACACAGGAATTTCCAAGTGGGAAAGTACAGTCGTTAAGTTGTAAAGCCCTGAATGAGGCCACACAGGTCGCATTGGCCTCAGCACAGATGCCTGCATCCTGGCAGGCTGGCCTTGTCACAACTTCCCAGGCAGGGCATGTCTCTCATGTCCTTCCACACACTGGGACCCCAGCTGAAGCCGTTCTCCAGCTCCAGCACAGGACAAGTCTCTTCCACCAGCCCCTCAAAAACCTGGTTCTGTCCCTCTCCACCCACTGCAGCCCCAGCTGTCCCCTGTGCTTTGCTGCAGCCGTGCCAGTCCCCTGCTCTGCCCCCCAAGCCAGACTGTCTCTGCCCAACTTGTCAGCAGCACTTGCAGGTGCCCTTTGCCATTCAGTGAGGCACAGAGAACTGTGCCCGCATGGCCACAATTCAACAGTGAGAGGAGTCACAGAACAGCCCCCTGGCTGGGCTGCAGTCCGTTGACCACGCCCCTGTCTGCATGGAATAGGATGCAGGAAGGTCCTGCTTAGCAGGGTCTCAGACCTAGCACTGGCACCACGGTGGGATCCCCAAGAGGGAGCACACCTCACCCTTGGCATGGTTACCCTCCACATGCTCAGTTGGGCTCCCTGTCACCCCTCCAAACCTCTGACCTTGAGTATCTCAGGGTCACCTCTCACCAGTCTGGGAGCACGGGGAGGTGAGAGGCAGCCCCAGTGCTGACCCCGCCACAGCACCCATCTGCTGTGACATGTCTGCAGCCAGCGGCGTGCCGGCACTGAGCCACCAGCCTGTCCCCACGGAGGAATGGTGCTCAGCAACGGGTGCACCCAGCCTTGTGTCTCATGGAGGCTTCCCACGCTCTGTTCCCCCTGAGGCCATGCTTCCCCGTAGGGACCCAGCCCATTGTCCCCTGAGGCTCCACTGGCAGACGTGGCATGATGCAGGCACCATGCCAGGACTGGGACAAGCAGGTGCTGGGTCTCTGGAATGGGCACAGATCCACAGCGCTGTGTCACCCCAGTGACACACTGCCAGGACAGCAGGCCCCAGGGGAACATCCTCCCGAGCAGCCCCCTCTGGGTTCCTATCCCACAAATTCATCTAATCACTTGTCACAGCTGGGTAATTCTGGGCTCCTCATGGCTGTAAGGTGACCCTATCCCATGGCCTCACCTCCCTTTCCCCATGAGGGTGCTGAGGGTCCTTCCCCCTGCTGCAGCTGGGTTGCCAGGGCTGACAAGGCCAGGTAAATCATTTCTCAGGAAGTCATTGCCTCGGGCACAACTGTGACACGCGGCAGCACCGAGTGTTTTGGCACACGAAGGTTGTGTGCATTGCCCCTCCCCAGCCCCACACAGATATAAACCCTGCCAAACCGCACTGCCCATCCATACCTGTGGCATTCACCAACATGAAGACCACCCTCATTTTGCTCCTGGGTATCCTGGCCCTGTGTGCCCAGCTGCAGGCAGCCCCTACAGCTGCTCGGAACGAAGGTGAGTGCTGGGGGGCTTGGGGTGGATGCCCTCTGCTAGCCCTTGGAGCACTGCAGGGCTGCTTGGGACTGGGGTCCCACATGGAACGAGCAGGTAGGAGCAATCCCACAGCACAGAGCCAGGCACATCCCAAGCTCCAGAGCGTCCAAGCACCACTGAAGCTGTGGCCACGCCACAGAGCAGGGCCACCAAGGTCCATGGGGCAGTGGGGGCAGTGGGGGCAGTGGGGGCAGTGGGGGCAGTGGGGCACTAGGCAGTGGCAGGACATGGCAGTGTGGCAGGAGCCCTCAGCAGGTGCACAGCTGGACCTGAGGGGCCATGCACAGTCCATGCCCATGGTGTGGGCACTCTGTGCTGCCAACTGAGGGGCTCAGTGTCTCCAGAGGATGGGGTGTCCCTCTGTATCCCTGTACTTGCTGATCCTGATCTGTGCCAGCAGCAGGAGGCTGGCTCGAGGGCACCTCAATGTGCCCCTTTTAATCATTGACCACGTTGCCTCAGCAGTCAGGAGACGTGACTCCAGCACTTTCCCTGCTGCCATGGAGGAGCCACGGTCACCTTCGAGGCTTGGGTGCAGCCACCGTGACCAGGCTCAGTGGTGGTAGGCACAGCTCCCAAGAAATGCAGCAGAGATAGCCTTTGAGGTCTGGCTTGGGGCTGCTGATCCCATGTGCTCAGCCAGGATCCTCCCTGGCCATAGAGACAGCTGGCAGATCACTGTGCTCCCCACAGCCATCCTCAGCCTCTGCTGAAGAAGTGGGGCCAGGGACACCAATATCCCGAATGCCATACACTGGGGGCAGGAGCCAAAGCATTCCTGTCTCCCAGAAGGCAATGCCAACTGCGTGGGCTGGAGCTGCTGGCCCTGCTGCCAGCTTGCTCACTCCCTCTCCAGGTGCTCCAGCTGGCTAGGGGCAGCTTCAGCTGGATTGTCCCCTCAGCAGCCAGCTAGGCACCTTGGACCTGAGGCACAACTGTGGGCAAAACCACTGGTGCCCACACTGCTCCTGCCAGCTCTCAGCTTTTCCTAGCTTTTCCCCTCATCTCCTTCTATGAGCCTTCCATTTCTGGGCTCCCATCTGCTGTTATCCAGCTGCTCTTGTGCGTCTTGGCTGCTGGCATCCACTCTCACAGCCTCCTAGTGCTGGCTGCTCACTGCCAGCACCAAGGTCACCTCACACTGGGGTCACCCCGTGCTGGGGAAAGTTGTCACAGGGTCAGACCAGGGCGATGATGCTCAAAGAGAGCACCAGTGCCACAGTTAAATCACAGCGGGACACCAGTGACCCTGGGTGGGCAGTGTGGGACCGGCAGCAGTGCTGCTGCTCAAGAGAAGCTTCTGCTGGGTCCAGGTGGGCTCTGTCCCTGTGCAGCACAGGTAGGGATGATGCAGGTCCTTCCTCTCCATCCTGGTGGGCAGTGTGCTCACCTCCCAGCCGTTACCACCCCCATCCCACCCTGGTAGATACAGCACTGGGCTCCAGTCCTGGTGCAGGGACCACTGGAAGATGGTTGTTTTCATTCCTGGCATCCCGATGTTGACCCTGGGCCCAATTTGGGAGCATCCCAGCCATCCCGAGTGTGGCCAGGTCCCAGCAGCTCCTCAGCAGTGCCCATCCTGAAGGGCACAGGGAAAACAGCTGCCTTGATGATCTCCCTGCCAGCCCAGGCCTCTGCCCATGTGTCACTCCCACTGCCGACAGCGGTGACATGAGGTGCGGCAGTGGGGCAGGAGGGTGAGTGCCGGCTCCTGTTCCTGCATAAACACCCGGCAGGGAGGAGACCACAGGCAAAGGCAAACAGTTACTGATTTACTGCCACACCGCCGTATCACATTGTTGACTGTGGGCTTAAATTACCTGGAGACGGACCCCGGCAGAGCAGACACCAGCTCGTGACTCAGGCAGGGATCATGTCACGGCCCCATGTACCTTTGGCCCATGCAAGTTTGCAAGATGCCTAGAGCTGGGGATGCCTCTGCCAGCAGCAAGGGCACATCACCAGGAAAAGGGCAGGTTTCATCCTCCTGCTGGAGGCCATGCAGGAGATGGGCACTGGTAGAGTGGCAAACGCTGATATGAGCAGGGCAACCATTCCAGGTGGGCAACCTGGGCCCATTCAAACCATCCCCAGCTTGACATTGCCAGGGGCAGTGAAGTGTCCTGACCCACCAGACATGTCATGGGAAGGTTATCTTGGACGTGGTGAAGGGACTGGTGTCGTACAGCCCCAGTACCACCATGCCCCGGAGCACTGGGAGAGCATGTCAGTGACTCACTCCCTGACAGCCACTTGCACAAACGGTGCTGTCAGATGGTCCATCCGCATCCCCAGTGCTGTGGGAGGCTGTGGGGATGGCAGGGTCTGTGGGACAGGGCTGCGGTCGGGCAGGAGCTCCCATGGCTGTGGGAAGGCGCAGGGCAGCCCCAGGGCAGGAACATACACAGGGCACAGGCGGCCCTTCATTAGAGAAGCAAGAGCTGGAGGAGAACAGTGGCCGCAACAGGAGCAGGAGCTGGGTGAGCAGCAGTAGAGCTGAGCCACAACCCAGTCTGCATTGCTGGTTCCTCCTGGCCTCGGGCCATCAGCGACCCAGGCCAGGGGCTCCATTCAGGCTCATGACTGTGCAGTGCAGGGTGAGTCGGGGCAGGGACCGGTCCCTGGGGCACTCGTGGCTGCCTCCCTCCCTGCCAGCGGTGCCACTTCATCCCCGCGGCCGATCGCCACGCAGGGCCACGGCGACCCAGCGCCCCGGTGGGCTCAGTGTGGGGCTGTCCGGGGTCCGGCGGGCGGGGGCCGTGGCCAGGGGTGGCTGGCTGCTGTTCCTGCTGGGCGAGTTCTCAGCATGGCCGCCCAGTCTCCTCGAGGCTCCCCCTCCCTGGTCGGCAGCCAGCAGCAGCAGATACCTGATACTCGGGTTGTGCAAGCGCGAAGGGGGAGCCTGGCCCTGCCCGGCCCTTGGGAGCCACCCGGAAGGCCGAACCCGCTGGCCCCACCTGGAGAGGAGCTTAAAGGCCGGCCGGGCGGCCACAGCGCAGCCGGTTCCTGCACCATGCCCACGGCCCGCAGCGTCCTCATCTTGGCGGGGCTCCTGGCTCTCTGGGCAGAGCTGCCGGCAGCATCCGCCCAGAATGACACCAGTGAGTATGAGCGCATGGCCCAGCACGGCTCGTCACGGCACGCCCGGCGAGCGGCCAGCATCCCTCCCTCCCTCCCAGCCCCAGGGCAGCCGGCGTGGGGGCCGGGGCGAGCACCAGCCCGTGCCCGGCTCGGCTGGGCTCGGCAGCATCCCTGGACCCAGCCCTGGGGCCGGGGCAGCATCTCCCGGAAAGGGACGCAGCCCTCGCCCTGCCCGGCGCCGGCCGCCCAGCGCTGCCCACGCCCCCCCCTTTGCCTTGCAGCAAAAGCCGGCGTGTGCCCGAGCCCCGCGACGGACGCGGTGAACTGCACAGTGGGGTGCCAGTCCGATGGCGACTGCGAGAGCACCCTCAAGTGCTGCCCGGCAGCCTGCGGCAAGGCCTGCCAGAAGCCTGACGGTAACACTCCCTCCTGCTCCTGGCCGTGCTGCCCACAGTCGGTGCCAGTGCCACGAGCCAACAGCCCGTCCCAGCCGGCAGTCCTGGTGCTCCAGGGTGCACTGGTGGCCACAGACCTGGGTGCCCGATGTGTGTTCAGCTGCAGCACGGGCATTGGGGGCTGCATGGAAGCCCAGCAGGCTTGGGGTGTGCTCCTGCTGGGCACCCCCTTCCTTCCTCTTCACACCTTCCTCCTCTCAGCAGTGCAGGGGCTGAGTGGACCCCCAAATGATGCTAGGGCTTGAGGTGGAGGGTTGGGTCTGCGCCGTTCCTCATTGCAGTCCTTGTTGCCTGCTCAGCCTTGTGGGCAGCTGCCAGCCCAGGATGTGAGCACTGTTCTGTTGCTCACCACAAAAGTCCTTCTGGACAGTGACCCAAGGAGATGGGTGCAAGAGTTGGAATCCACAGCTGCAGACAGATGGATGTCACCTGGAGGCTCCAATGCCTCCGTGGCTGTCTGCGGGACAATCCTGGCTTGGCTGCACCAAATTGGAGGGAGGGCCGCATGGTGCAGTGCCAGAGCTCAGTGCCAGTGGCAGGCAGTGGGACAGCAGGGCAGGGTCCCCACTCTGCCAGGCAAAGGCTGACACATGATCCTGGCTGAGGCTTAGGCTGGGCCTCCATGCCATGAACAAACAGCCTGGGCCATCCATGGCAGTTGTGGAGGACAGCAGCGCCAAGGCCTCTATCCTGTCTGCATGTTGCAGCTGTGCATCCTGTGCCAGCCATGTGTCCCTGAGTGAGAACACTGGGCATAGGGACCATTGGGGACCACCCTGCTATGTGGCCTCCCTGATGTGTCCTCATCAGGTCCATCTGGCAAGGAGTGCCAAAGGGCAGAGCTACGAGATGGGGGAAATGCTGGGTACCATGGTGATCCCTCCTCCACGGCAGATAGAGGCCCACAGCTTTGGCACCTGCAGGGTGAGCCCTGCCTCCCATGCCAAGGCCAGCAGGTCTCAGCCATGTTCCTTTGCCTTTCAGAGAAACCTGGCACCTGCCCACCTGTCAACCCAGGCATCCCCATGCTGGGCCTCTGCACCAACCAGTGCAAGACCGACGCCAACTGCTCCGGGATCCAGAAGTGTTGCAGGAATGGCTGCGGCAAGGTCTCCTGTGTGACACCCATCCACTGAGGTCAGTTGGGTGCATTCCAGCCCCAGGGATCCCACAGCACTGCCGCACAGCACCTGTGTACCCATCCTGCTCACAGTCTCTGCTCCTTTGCAGGTGCAGCCACTGCCTGCGAGCCCAGCCACAGGGAAGCTGCTGCCCGATGCCCATCCCACATGCCCTGGCCCTGGTCCTGCACCATCCCCCCGGATTGGAGCCTTCAGCCTCAGTTTTCTCCCTGGGGTTCTCTGCTCAGGGCGAGCCCCCTGCACTCTCACCAATAAAGCAGCTTCTCCCTGTCACGCTGTGAATGCCTCTCCATCCCACACCGTGTCTGTTTCTTTGTTCCGTGCTGTGGCCACCTCTCCATCACGAGCCATGGCTACCTCTCCATCCCATGCCAGGGATGCCTGGAAGGGCTTCATACAAGCAGCAGCATCAACTGATTCTGTCATACCTCCAAGCTTGTGCCCTGCCTGGGGCTGTCCCAGGGGTCCATGGCCCCAGCTGTCCCTGCGCACTGGCTCCTCCACCTTGGCTCTTCCACCATACTCAGAGCACAGCTGTCAAGGTGCAGCTGTGTCTGTGTCCCATCAGAACAGAGGTGCTCTCTGCTCCCTGCTCTGCAATGGCCAGGGGACAAACAGGCTGCAGTGCATGCCTGTACATGAGCATCACCCAAACTCCTCCTTACCTCCACCCTCCCAGCCTGGCGGTGGCACCTTGCCCACAGCAGAAGCCTGAAGGAGCTTTCAGCAGTGCAACCCACATGCCCCGGTTCCATGCCCCTGCCACGTCCCTCCCCACCTGCTCAAAGCTGGGCTCCTGTTCCTGTCCTGCTTTCCCCTGACACTTCCTGCTCTCCACAGGTCTCCAGGGCCCATGTTCCTTCTGTACCTGCGTGCTCCTGCTCCCAGTCCCTGGGATCAGAGCATGTCCTCCTGCCTGAGAGGGGCTGGCACCTCCAGAGCCCCCGCTGGGAGCCATCCCCTGGGACTGAGTGAGCCCCCTACCTTGCCCAGCACTGCCCAGTGTCTGGAGCTGGTTCCCCCCTCTCTCTCTGTGGTGGAGGTGCAGGCTATGCCAACACCACAGCTCCACAGCAGCTCTCCCTGCTCCACGTGTGCCAGGAAGGATCCAGTGGACACTGAAGACTGGGAGAGAACACTGCTCCTGTGTCCCATCCATGCTCACAATGGTGTGGCTCTGGGAGTGCTGCTCAGCCCTTGGCCCAGCTGCTCACATGTCACCAGTGACCTGGAAAGGGAACTGCAGATGTGTCAGCCATGGGCCACGAGCCCAGCACTGCCCCAGGAGTCTCCCCCAAGCTGAATTGTTCGTGCTCAGCACTCCCACAGTCCCGAAACTGTGCTGCCATGAGAAGGAGCAGCTTGGCTTGGCCAGCCCCCACTCCAGAAGGGTTTAAATCCCAGCCCACTGCCCAGAACCACATCCATTGCAGAGCAATGCTGGGCCACTGCACCCTTCTCCTGGTGCTCCTGGCACTGCTGGCCCCAGCCCAGCAGCACAGCCCCAGGGACCAGAGCACTGCCCTCACCTTCACTGCATCCCCACACCGAGCCCTGCAGGGACGCTGGATCCCCACTGCCCGGCCTGCTGCCCCCAAAGTGGGTGAGTGCCCAACGGGGGCAAGCAGAGCCTCTTGGCCCCCCAGACTGTACTGCCTCTCTGACCATGGCTGCCCTGGTGCTGAGAAGTGCTGCCAGATCGGGAAGGTCTGGACCTGCCTCCTGCCCACCACAGGTACCGCTGCTCACTCCAAGGGATGCCAGCATGAGCATCAGGCAATGGGGGGGGTGTGGGCTGGTGGCTGTCTTGGTGCCCCAGGAGCAAGCCCTGCTCCCTGGGACACAGCTGCATGGAGCATCTCCCTCTGCAGAGAGCCCGGGCTACTGCCCCCGTGCTGGCAGTGCCATCGGGCCAAGCTGTGGGACAAGATGTCACAACGACACCACATGCCACTCGGGAGAGAAGTGCTGTACCCGCGGCTGCTGCACCCGCTGCGTGCTTGCTGAGCCAGGTGAGGTGTGCTGAGATCCCCATGCCAGGCTGAGGATGCCCTGGGACAGCCCCAGGGGTCCACAGCCCCCATCACACTGCAGGGGAGTTGTGGGCAGTAGGGCCAGGCTGGCTGCATGCCGAACCCTGAGCCTTCCCTCCAGCCAAACCTGGGTTCTGCCCTCGGAAGCGTGCCCAGAGGAGAGCTGCTGCCTGCCCCAACAGCTGCACCGATGACCGGGACTGCCCTGGGGAGCACAAGTGCTGCTTCTCTGGCTGTGGGTTGGCCTGCACCCCTCCGGACACAGGTACAGCTCTGCCAGCCCTCTCTAATCCCCACGTCCAGCCCACCACTGCACTGGTGCTAGCCCATCTTCCCCCTGGCAGAGCCCAGCGTGTGCCCAGCCGTGCTGCTGGACAAGCCACAGCGGCTGTGCCCGGCCAAGTGTGCAGCTGGTGGCATCCATCCAGGCCCCAGGGAGTGTGTGCCGCTGGCTGCAGCTCCCGGTGCACACGCCTGCCATGGGCACAGCCCCAGCCCTCAGGAGCCCCTTGTCAAGAGCTGGCCCTCAGGGTGCTGTGGGAAGGGATGCCCAGCTCCTCTGTGATAGGTGGGGGATGGCTCTGAGTGCGTGAAAGGCTGAACCCCCTCCTGATCCTCCCTCCTGCAGCCCTCTCTGACTACGTGCTGCTGCAACCAGGGCTGTCCTTCACCACTCCAGCTACCAGCTGGCATCCCATATTGAGCTGTGACTGATCTCACTGGTTGAGACTGGTATGGGTGTGAGGGTGGTGACTGAGGGCATCATGGTGCTCTGGGAAGGAAGATAGAGGTGCAGGACAGGGACAGAATGGAGACCGAGACTGTGCCAGGAGCAGGACTGGGGACAGAATCCCAGCACAGACACACTCCTCACTGTCACCAGAGAGCCACCGAGCCACAGAGAAGCCCGGCCTGTGCCCCATGGTGATGCGGGGCTCCTTGGGGCCCTGCCTGGAGATGTGTGACACCGACAGTGACTGCACTGGGGATGACAAGTGCTGCACCACCGGCTGTGGGCACATCTGCAAACCACCCAAGGGTAAAACATCCCCTGGTAAACCATCCCTGTGAGGCCAAGACTCCTCTGCCTCCTCCCTACCTGTCACTGTGACCCTCCCAGGGGCAATGGGAAGCTGGGGACTGAGCTGCTGTCCAGTGGGGCATGAGCTCAGTGAGGAGCTCACCCCTGCTGGCAGGGCAACTCCCCCACCCTGGGGGGGTGCCCTAAGCCCCTCACCCCTTTCTCTCTCCACATGGGCCAGCGTGGCCAGGTCTCTGTCCCCCTGCAGCAGAGGGTGATCGGGCAGCCAAGTGCCTCTTCCTGTGCCTGCACGATAAGGATTGTCCCCTTGGCCAGAAGTGCTGCCTGCAGGGCTGCAGCTGGGTCTGCGTCCACCCACTGTAGGGTATGTCCCCTCCAGCCTGCTGCCTCCTGGGTCCAGCCTGGAGAGGACAGAGGGAAGCCCAGAGTGTGCACACCACAGGGCCCCCCGTCCCTCAGAGAAGGAGCACTGAGACATCCTCACTGACCACCTCGCTTGCCTCTTCCAGGTACAGCATAGCCACGGCCCCGAAGGGCTGCACCAGGAGCTGCCATTTCAGAGTCATCCCTCACCCCACTACCATTGCTCCTGCAGACTGAGCAGAGCTGCTGCTGCACCCCACACCTCTCCCTGTGCTGGACCCTGTGCACTGGCAGGATGGCATCAGCATTGACTCCGATGCTTCTGAGTCCCTGACACCCCCAGATGTGCCATTAAGGGCTGCATGCTCCCTGCACTACCGCATGGCCAAGATTCTTAGCGACCCTGCACGAGGCAAAACCCTGCATCCACAATGGCCCCAGCTGCTCCACAGCACTGAGACAGAATAAACCATGCCACAGCACCTCTGCTCTGGGTCACCATCCCTGTTTTGTGCTCTGATTCCCAGAAGTGCTGGCAGCCCAGGCTGCGTGCAGGCAGGGAGGTGCAGGCACACAGGTGCTGCCCCAGGGGAGGGAGAGGGTCCCAGTTCCATGCAGGTGACTTTCAGCCATCATTGTTCTATGGTAACCATCCTTCTGGGCCTGGAGGCTGCATGATGTTCGCTCAGCAGTCATGGACTGGAAAACCAGTTCCCTCAGATTCCTTGTGTGTGGAAGGGCTCATTTGCATCCCAGAGTGTGAAAACCTGGTGGAAAAAGCAGTCACGGGTCAAAGAAGGGGGAAGGGAGCATCACCCATGTGCCAGGGGTCACGGCAGGACCTGCTTACTCATGGTGCTGGATCCCGAACAGTCCCATGCATGGAAGCGACACTTGGCTGAGGAGCAGCAGCATGGCAGTAGAGCTCTTAGAACCCCCTCCTGCTGCTTACACTGCCATGCCAGGACCAAGCCATGGGGTCTACCCACAGCCCCTACTCCAGAGAGTAGAGAGGTGACTGGGGCTGGAAGGAAACCCAGAGAGGGAGTGGCAGCCAACCCCAGCAAGGATGGGGCGGTGCAACATGGGGGACAGCAGTGCCTGACCCCATCTGGCCTTCCCAGCCCCACAGGTCACCCTGACCCCAAAGCAGGGTTTGGGCAGAGATAAGCGGGATGGCTGGCAGGGCACCAACGGGTTCTGGGAACTGCCCCTCCTCCTGCCCCTCCTGTCCATAGCACAACCAGCTGCCACAGCAGGCAGCTCAACTTCAGCAGCCCTGGCATTTCAGGCACCCCTGCCACAGACTTTAAACCAAGCCCCAGCTCAGCTCCAGACATGCACAACATCCCTGGCAGCACCATGAGCCCAGGAGTTTTCCTCCTCCTGGGCCTCTTCATCCTCAGGGCAGAGCCGAGCGTAACACCAGAGAAGGATGGTGAGTACCAGGAGTCAAGCCCAGCAGCTGCCAGGCACAGGCAGCCTGGGAGTAGCTCCTTCATCCCGGCCCCGTGTCCCTGCTGTGCCCCCTCTGTCCCTGCCCAGCATATGCTGACAGGCACCATGTCCCAGCTGGCTGCAGCACCTGCACCGCAGCCCTGCCTGCCTGGGGGACCCTGCCCCCACCCTAGGGTGCAGGGGCATGTGTGCACACCCTCATCCCCGTGGGCACCCCCTGCACCCCACGGGCACAGCAACTGTCAGCTCCCAGGGCTACCACCCCTGCACCCTGGGCACAGAGCCTTGTTGCCAGCCCCCCGAGGGACAATGCCTGGGGCGGTGGTGCCCAGCTGCAGCGGGGCTCTGCCCACACCGAGGCCACAGCCGGTGCCTCT